CTCCGTATGTTACATGCTGTTTTTGGGTTTGTGAGCTTTGGAACGGGGGACGGGTAACGTTTAACCTGCGAGCAAGCTTTCCATTTGGGGAATATTGTGAAAAGTACACGCGCGAGTGGCACGCGAAGGGAGATGCGACCCCTCGTGCGGCTCGCTTCGCTCTCCCAAATAGGAGAGCTTGCTCACAGGCTAAGTAGCGTTGAACGAGCACAGGCCGAGAAACGGGAAAATGAAAAATGGGAACTGAAAGCAGAGCTGAGAACGAAGTTAATGATAGGGCTAAGGTTCAGGTTAGGTTTTGTCCCCATGTTTTTCATTTTCGTGTTGATCCGTGTGTTCGTTCCCCGCTTCCCGTTCCCGTTTCTTTAGTTTGGTTTAAACCAAGGGAGCATTCTTTTGTCCTTAAACTCATAATACATTACCATACTCAAAAACAACAAATTAAGACCAAAAACACAATTGATCCACAAAAGATGAAGCAAAGATTCGGATTCATAACAGTAACAAAACAAACAAAAAAATGATCATTTCGGTGCAAATATATTTGAAATATTTGCAATAACTCTCCGCAGGAGCCGATCGCTCCTGCTCCCAGAGCGCCAACTTGATAGGTCCAAATTATATCATGCAGCTTCACTTTTCGCCTGGGGACTTTTTGCAGATGTATCCCAGTTGTTTGGAACACTTTAGGTCGTTCCATTCTGCGTTATGATGACCGACGTTATAGTCTCCCTCTAATATGGCTACGCAGTCTTGGTGGCCTTTATTATTCGGCTGGCCACTTTTCCACTTTTTGTAACCAGTTAATCCGGTCCCGTCTGTCCATTTCCATTCACCTTCTTTATCAATGTCGGAAAGTCCAATCCAGTACATGCCTTTAGTATTCAGATATTCGTTTTTTATAAAGTCATTTTCTTTATCAGTTTCAATCTTCACTAACTTACCACCGACATTTTGGCAGTTCACTTTCGCTTTTTTCCAGTTCTGGGCTGATGTTGATGTGTACAGCTTATAACACGATGACCCAAAACTTGTCCATTCCGCTTCACAGGTTGCTGCAAAAGACAAAAATCCAAAATAAACACAAAACAGAAAACAACAACGACAACAAAACAACTAATTAAAAATAGAAAACATAATAATTGGTCCATGCAAACTCATACCCCCACCGTTGCCCCCCCCCCCCCCCCCCCCCCCTCCTCCCCAGCGTTTTCGGATACATACGATATTTTGAAAAGTTTGTGCCCGCGGACTTTTTATTCCATTCGAAGAACGTTTGTGCTTCAAACCGAAATAATACAGGGTGTCCTAAAAGTTAGTTTCTCTATTTTATAAGTCTGTATTTCAGTACGATTGGACTTGATAAGCAAGTTATTTGATGAAAAGTTGTGTCTTTCAATCTAATACACTATTTTCATACTGATGGTGCCATCTTTTGACTCGAATGTTGGATTTGTGCACTGCCGCGCCAAAGGTGCCCGTGCGTGAGTACATTTTCCAGCCACATATTTTTTGTATTTCATAGCCCAAATTGCTCGAACTCCTTACTTGTTATTGTGAATATCAAGAAAGATAAACTCCTTTACCGCAAAAGCGTTCGGCTACGTGAGAGCATAAGCATGTATACTTCGATTTACTGGCTTATCTGTTGTAGAAACTGCTTAAAAAATTGTAAAAATTCGAATGTTGAGTGGTAAAATGATCATGGAGAGATGGAGGTTTTGAAGGCAAGAAAGGAAGGGGAAGACCAAAAGTCCTGAATAAAGCAGCTAAAATAGTTTTAAAGAAGGCTGGATACAAAATAGGAGACTCGACGAGGAAGCTCTCACATAGTTAGCCAGCCAAGTCCAGAAAGGGTCATGAAAAGGTGTTTAAAATGTTTAAATTTAATGGCCCCTGAGATGGCAAAAAAGAACTCTGCTTAGTGTACCAAGTAACGCCCAGCTCGTCTCAAATTTGTAAAGAAGTACAAACGACTTGCTGTGGAAGCGGGCGGGGATGATTATCTTTTTTGGATGAATGCCCAAAATAAGTTTTTTCAGCTGTCTAAACAAATATTGTTTGGGGGTCGAACTGGCTCCTGAGCACCAGGTGATAAAAAAGCTCAAAATGGATCATCTGTGGGTCTACTCGCTGTGTCCCACTTCAAGACGCAACGGCTACAGAATGTGATAAAAAAACAAAAAGGGCATGCCAGTCACTGAAATTCTGAATACATGTACTCGATGGAGAAATAAACATCTTGTAGAAATTTCATGTAAAAATAAAGTTTTGATCAAAAGTTATAGTGCATGAAATTAGAGGAACGAACTTTTGGGACACCCTGTATACATTTCGTATATCGCCGCGATTATCAGTTCGTTGTTTTTCCCTCCATTTTTCTCACTACGAGGATCACGAAGACATGCCGTTGATATCATAGTAAATGATCCTTTTTCGGATCTTCCTTTTTTTGGTAGTGATCGAAGAAACCATATGATCCGAGATCACAAATCCGCTTTTGTATTCTCCCAAAAGTACGCAACCTCAGAGAGCGTTTTCATGCTTCTCTTCCTTTCCATTTCCAAAGCTTTACTTTTCTTAAACAGATCTAAACTTGACCGTCTGCGATTTGTGATTGGTGGATTTCGATCCGTTTGGTTTGTTTCTGTGTTTTAAGGTCTGTTGTTTGTGTCCGTCCCGTTTCGGGCTATATAATCTACTACTTAACTTTGAAGATTTTATCTGATCTTGTTGCAGCCGAACAGCCTTATGATGTTCAGAGGCAAGTTAGACGAGATATTGGCATTGATAAGAGCCAGACGCCAATGACCTTTATTTTTATACATTGTGCCACTATCTGTCTTCTCATTGGCTAAGAGTCTTCAGCTAATTTTAGAAATCAAGGCGACCTACAGATGAGTTAATAGGCCATTTTACAGTTATGGATGGAAGCGAGGGTGAGGGTGACCTTGTTTTGATACAAACCCTCTCTGCTTTGTTATGGAAATTGTTCTTGAAAAATACTAGTTAGCATAAGAATAACTTGATTAACATAATAAAGCAGGAAGGTTTGTATGAAAACTATGTCACCCTCAGCCTCGCTTCCATCCACAACTGTAAAATGGCCTATTATCTGCTAGCATACAACTGGCTATGCTGTAGGTTGGGCGCGCAATGCATGATTTTAGAAAATAATATCAATTCAGGTTCCTTGCGACGGTGTGTTTGTCGTTATTCTGTTCAAAACAATGTATAATAACGCACTTATTACTTTCGATTTTTGAGATATCCGAAATAATCAAGGTCTCGGTAAGTGTTATCAGCCTCGGTCTTCGGCTTGGCTGATAACACTTACCTCGACCTTGATTATTCCGGATATTACAAAAACTTCATCCAACAATTTTTTATTATTATTCATTCAAAATATTTCGCCGTTTCTTATTGGTTAAAACCACACGCATAATTCACCATAAAAAGGCACTGTTGACCAAATGGCAAGAATTTTGTCATATTGAACCGATGACGTCAAAATGACATCAAAAGTGCCGCCTGATTGCAAGTTAAGGAACTGTTAACCAAGAAAACCTGGGGACGACGTTCAGTTGTTTTGGTTATGACAACAAAATGGCTGATCAGTCGGCGGAACATTTTACTCGTTTCTTGGCGAAAAAGTGAGTATCAACATGCTAAGAACAGCATGAAGACGAACGACAGCTGCTACTTAAAGTATAGCTGCAGACCTAAACAGACCTTTATCTCCTAAACTTCCCGATAAAGATGCATTAGCGATATGAACTTACATCGACCAAGGTTAGCATGTTTTAGCTGTTTTTAAACATGGAATTATTTTGAAGGAATAATAAAACAATTATTGAATTCGGTTTTTGTAGGATATGAACAATTCTGCAGATCTCGGAGGGAGTTGTCCACCTCGGCCTTCGGCTTCGGTGGATAACACCCTCCCCGATCTGCAGAATTCTTCATAACCTACTCAGCCTCAGTAAATAATTGTTAAATCTGTGGCCCCCTCAGATCAGTGCCTGCATAGACTGCAAATTTTCTTCGCCACTATTGGCCGATTTTGTTTTTGCAGGCCAAGTTGGGCGAGCGCGCGCGTTCAAACACTGTGATTTGCATTAACCCCGCCGCCACTGAAATGATTTACGCAACGGGAAAACCGAAAATCCTTTGGTAGTTTGCAAACTTGCAGCGCGATACTACGCCTTGGCAGTGAAGGGGTTCAACTGTAGATAGTTACACCTGCCCGGTATCAATGGATTCAGATTGGTCAAGCTAATCAGCTTTACTATGTCAATACAAGTCAATGCAAAGACACAGAAAATTACCCACCGAGTGGAGGGGGTTGGCTTGTTGAAGCTGGTAAAGCTGTGGAAACTGCTGTTGGTATCACTGTGCCTTCTGATGACGATACATCTGTTAAAGGAGCACAATGGAAATACTGACACTAAATTTTTCCCAGTTGTTTGAGTATTTATATTTTTCTTATTCCTTCATTGATTTTCCCCGCCCAGTTTATACTTGCTCGTGCCAGAATTGCTATTGGTAAAATAAGTTGTTGGTTATTTTAAAAATAGGTCCACTTGGCGTACATGTTGCAAGTGCGAATATATATCATTAAAAACTGTGGTCATAATGGAAAGAGTTAGTTTGGTTGGTGCTTTTTTTTTTGCTTTTCGAAAAGCCTTTTTTTTCTGTTTCAAAGGTGTATGACAAAGAGAGTTTGTTTGAACCTATCTATTCTTGTGAATAGCCTCTCCATTTACAGTGTGTTTTTGAAAATTTCTTTAGCGAAATTGGCTCTGAGTAGCCGGAGTTTTGCCTTAGCTTTTCGTGATGCAATTCTTTACCCCTAACTCTTGGGTGGCAAGACGAGAAGCGTGCATTCTGAAATAATCCAGCTGGATTGAAATGTGTTCCTAGATCCAAGAATTAACATGCATGTTTTAATACTTTATTCCTTTGAACACAATTATATCTTGAAATAAAAGTTTTGTTCTCAGAGATTCCCTTTGTAAATTTAACATTACTAGCGTGATGATTATTTGCTTGTTCAATGAACTGTGATATCTGTTCTCTTCTGAAAGAGAAAGTCCTTCGTATCAGGACGCCTGTTTGTATACCTTTTTCAACAGGCTTGCTTTCTACCTAAAGACGATTAACTCTGTGAGCCCTTTCAAGTGACTGTTTGCAGAAGGAATTCGTATATGTTTAGAAAACATATAGTATAGAATAACAACAATAAGAAGAATCAAAGAAAAAGATGAAATAAGATATCCATTAAATCAAAATGTATCCCGCAAATACAAACATATGTTGCTCTTGATAAATGTCTTAAAAGGTTAAATTACAACTCACAGAAATTTTGGAGGTTGCTCTCCCTTCGTCGTTATCTTTCATCTTCTAATTCAAATTGGTTCCGATTATTTCTTAGGTCCTTTTATCGAATCCAGTTTTAATCAATCGAATATCCTAAAACTCCCTCAAGATTAGCCAAAAAGCCTTCACGATTATATGCACATGCATAGTGCCCATAGTTGCACATTCCAAGCCTGCCAAATGGTTACACATTCCAAAGTTAACAAATTTGTGCTAACGCTTTGGTTCCCCTTTCACGAAAGTAGTAAACTAGTGTATAGCTTATAGAATTTTTATGGCTGTTACGTCATAAGTTGGGATTATATAAAGTACTTAGACGAATTTTCAATGCTCTCACAAAGTGTCTACGTGCTTCGCACTAGACACAAACACAGATTGAGATAGTAGAAAACAAGTCGACGAAAAGGCACAGAAAATTACCTACCCCGTTGAGGTGGTTGGGTTGTTGACGCTGGATAAGCTGTGGAAACTGCTGTTGGTATCACTGTGGCTTCTGATGATGATACATCTGTTAAGGAGCACGATAAGAATACTGACACAATATTGATTCCAGTTGTTTGAGTGTTATATTTCTTATTTCCTCATTGTTTCCCCTTGCTAGTTTGTAAGTGACTTAGTCAGAAGGGCTATCGGTAAACAAGTCGATGGTTAAAAAAAAAAAAAAAAATGAATAAATAGAGAATACTTCATGGAAAGTGCTGGCGTACGGTATTTACGCACGAGTTGTTGACGTATCAGAAATCGAACGAGTGAGCGCAGCGAACTAGTAAGATTTCTGATACAAAAACAACGAGTGCGTAAATACCGTACAAAGCACTTTCCATGTGGTATTGTGTTTATTATATACATACTGAGTCATTCATCATTTTGCGGGCCTTTTTATTTTAAATCTTTCAAAAATGCTAAAATTTGCCGCTACACACTTACCGCAAAATGACAACGAAAACGAAGTATCAGCTTTTTAGTAAAAAAAACGTTTGTTAAAAACATAAATGACGGTGAGGATATGAGGTTTAATCCAAGAACTATAAGTAATCTTAACTGTTTGTTCTCAATGCACAATTGAAAATGAGTGAATTTAAGTAAAATGGCCGGTTTCAATATAAGCTTAAGCTTAAATGAAAGGCAAAGTAGCTCCGACAAAAAGCACAACAAAAGCTTACGTCTCGTTCTGTTTATCCCTTTCCGCTGTTGTTTCACCGGCTCTCTACCGTATTTTTTATCGACAGTGAAACAAACGAAACTATTCCACTCCATTTCCGAAATGTTTTTCACTTTTTTAGCGAGAAAAACTCCTTGAGTAAAACTTTTCTCGTTGATAAATGTGTGCGAAGCGGCGCTGCAAGCTGCAATAAAAGGCGGGAATTTTGGCGCGAAACTCCTACACCTCTGTGGCTTCTGATTGGACGTATCATTTTTCTCACACGTGAAAAAACATCGTTCGCGATTCTGATTGGACGTATCGTTTTTTTCACGTGTGAAAACCATCGTTCGCTCCTCTGATTGGCTATAACTAATTTGCGTACGAAAATTTACGACATAGCTTTTTGGTGAGTATTTCTCAGTATGTATATAATAAATAAGAATCAGATGGTAGGAGGCGAATATGCAGTAATGGTCAAGTGGGTCAAATATGAGGTGTCCTGTTGGCTGAATGTTGATAATCAAAAGATTTTCTATTTCTTTGCGAGTTTAATTTATAGACCAAGACGGACATGGTCAAGATGAAAAGAAAAAGTAACGGAAGAAAAGAAAACATGGCCAACTATCTTTAGCCGCAATCTTGACCTCATGCTTTGTAAATAGAGGATTTACTATATATGGCCCAAATGATGAGAACCTGTGTTTGCGGGACCGACGCGGGAAATCCCGAGGGGCAGTTTCTTTCTCGCTCGGGTGGTCCATCAGAACATAGTATTTGCTTCATCTTGTCCGCTCGCCAGTTTAGCCGTATAATAAGATATAATAAGCAAAACATTACAGCTCTGAACCGGCATCAGTGTATTCAATTTTCTCTACTGATGAGCTAATCCTGACAGTGAGGAAAATACCTACCCGCCGGTTGAGTAGCTGATGAAGATGCTGTTGATGTATCCAGAGCCTTTGATGCTGATGAAACTGTTGGTGGGTATTCTGAAACTGCTGACAGATTAATTTGCTTTTTGAAATTTAGTCAGTTTATACACTAGATTGTTTTTAATCGTTTATCCCTCTTCAAACCCAGGGAAGCTTTTGAGCCCCCGCCTATCCCTCCAGCCCACCCCCCCTCCCGCTGAAAAGTTGAATAACTCCAGAACTGTTTAATCTAGGTGGATAGGGCTTTCCACAGGTTTTTTTGCCAACTTCTCGTATTTCGAGCAAATTTTTTTCGTTTCGAGCATTTTTTTTTGTATTTGTTTTTTTGTTTTGAAATATCGGAGCGGCATATTTCACAATGTTTTAGTAGACAATTTATGAATTTCCTGTAAAATATCCTAGGAGCCAAATCCTCCCCCCTGGGGCAGATCATAGGCGCAACGTAAAAGTAGCCTGGCTGCTAGGCGATTGGTTTTTCCAGAAAATTCAAAACTGTGGACAAAGCTTCACACGCGACTGACTTGAGTGTCTCGGGTGAAGAAGATCGTTCAGCAATTTTATTGGCTCATTACATTTTTTTGGTTCAAATTGAGGACAAAGTTATAAGTAACGCTGATCGGCTACTGATAATTTGCATATTTTAGCATCGGACCAAAAAAAAAAGTTTTTTCGAACAACTTTTGAGCAACTTTTTCAGAAATTACAGGAAACTTTTTGGAAAATCTCGAGTAATTTGTGGAAAGCCTTAAGCTAGGCACACCAAACAAAGCGAATCTTCGAAAAATTTATCTGGGAACATTTTAAAATCGTCGTGACGTGTACGTCAATATTTATGTTACCATGGCAATAGAATTTTGACAGCCATATTTTTTTAAATTAATATATTACACTTAGTTTAGCATTATTTTATCACAGCTGTTGTAACTGTTAATGAAATCCAGGCATTTTGGTGCCTACTAAGTCTGAGAAAAAACACGAGTTCAATATGACCAAATGGCAGATACTGAATTAAATTTTCAACAGTGTTGTCAATTTGCCAATCAGGATGAAAGGAAATTCGAAAAGTAATTCTGGTAATTCGTTGAGTCCGTTGATGGCCCACAACAGGGTTATCGGCGCTGCTTTGCAGATGTTACTAGGCGAAGTTAAATTACGTCTGAGAAGCAGGCTATACCATACGAGCTTTCCTAAATCTTAAGGTGAAAATTTTTCGAAAGCCCGTTGGGTTTTTTTGTTACCTTAAAATTTCTTTAAGTTGTTTAGGGCTAATTCAGCATTTTGTTGCAAATTTGCTCTTCAGGTCTTGAAACATTATATAACATGGTTTTTGCTGCTTTAAGAGCGTAAATTTGGGATTTAGTGTACCCAACTTTGTCCAATCAAAAGCAAGTAAATTTCATCAATACATTTAGTACAAATGTATCTGATTTTAGTAAAATCCAGCTAGTGGTTTACTATATATCAATGCTGCATTCTGACTGGTTGAGCTACTACCAGGCTAATAATATATGTTATAGCCCACTAGTAGCAAAAAGCGCCGGATTTTTGGCGGCAAAAAAGGAATTAAAGTCTAGTCTTAGCTAGCTAAAGTTGTTTTGTCTCAATAATTTTGACCAACTAGACATTTCTTCAACTAGACATTTCATTTTTTGATAACTTGACATTTCTTACTATTAATGTGACTGTGTGATGCAGTTAAGCCTTAACGTGTTGCTTTTGATGGACTCTGTGGCTGCAAGATGCGGTTCGCAAGTCCAGCCCAGAAAAATGACCCTTGCTCGCCAACAAGTCCTCAGTAGCTCAGAGATTAGAGCATCCAATCTAGAACACGGATGGTCGTGGGTTCGAATCCCATCTGGGGCTCAGATTTTTTCTCTGTCCTCTTATGGTTGATTCTTTACGTCTCCCTTTATTTCCTTTATAATAGTTGGATTTTACTAAAACAATTATTCCTCTCGCCCTCACGGCCTCTGAGTCAATAGCCCGTTTGGAATTCGTTCTCATGGGCTATTTATTCAGAGTCCATTCTAGCCTCCCACGCGGGCGTTTTTAGGGGAGCTCGACCCTACCCACAAACACATGCTCAACCGAAGACAACATTCCTTTCTCATGCTTAGCCAATCACATTGAAATTTCCAAATTCTGGAAAATTGGCCTTGACCGCAAGGTAATCTGATAATTACTCGATCTGCATCTAACACTGGCAAAGCTTTGTGGACCTCTAATAAATGTTAGATTCAGTGTGGCAAAGTAAGATTTAGTCAAAATTTTAGAATACTCCATGCATTGCATAGCCTTAGCGAAGGAAAGAAAAAGGGAAAACGGTAACTCTAGGGTCACGTTAAAGTCGCGTTTGGCCCGTCAACACTTTATTGCACAACTGTTTATTGGTCACTTACCACGCAAATAAAACAACGGGAAAGGAATGTTGTTTTCGATTGAGCAGGCGTTTGTGGGGAGGGATGAAAAACGAGCTCCCCTAAAAACGCGTGCTTGGGAGGCTAAGCCCATTTAAGCTCGAGGAATAATTGTTAAATATGTCGAACGGTCGCTGAATATCAACAAGAAACAAAAAGGGTGTCAAAGGTCATCCAATCCGTTACAATGATTAAGTCTATAATCATAACGATCACAAAATTCTCAAATCTGATTGGCTATCAACTGCCCTGATTTCAACCTAAATAGGAAGTACGCGTCATGCCTAAATAATTGGACGGTACGCGTCATCACGCGCGCGCTTAAATGGCTTTTTTTCTCTGCTAGGAAAAAATATCTTGAAATTTCTTGTGTTTTGATTTAAAAAACAAGAACATTATATATCACAAATTTTGTTAAAGTTATGATCAATTGGTAACAGAACTTCGTATAGTCCAATTCGGTCCGTAACCATCCTCGTGATTAAACAAATCAGACTCCCGCTACGCGGTCGTCCGATTTTGTTAATCACTCGTTTGCTTACAGACCGAATTGGACTCCTCTCGGTCATGTTACCGTTGATAATTACAAAATAAAGAAACAACAGACAGACTTTTAATCCACAAACTGACAAAATTAAGAATTTTTTTTTTAAAAAAGAGAGGGAAATTAGAAAAAAATGACGCAAAATAAGCCTTTAATAAAATTCATGCAATTATAACTAACTCACCTCCACATCCTGTATCAAGTCTGCATTCAAAAACTGATATAAAACTTTAACAATTTAAGACTATTTTAAATAAGATCGGTTGTTCTAAAGCCCAAACGGTAGCATTTACATATGTAAGTAGGCAGGGGCATGAAATGTCAATCCTTTTTAATCGGGTGCGTTCCCAACTGGCTTCAAGAATTTGAAGTCAACAAGTTGCTAAAAGGGATCCGCAGAGCACACTGTTCGACCAGCTGACAGTTGTCACGTCAGTTTAGGGTAGAATTCAGGGAGGCACCTGCGCCTTATGGAAAAACTCCATGTGCGAGGACTCGGCCATCTTCAGTCAGTATTGGACCACCTTAAAAACCCTACCTATAGGCTGGGGTAATGTAATAATTCGCATAAAGGGCGAATAATCGAAAATAACTATTCAAAAACTTGGCACATGGACCACGTTTAAGTAAAGAGACCGAACTGCCCGGATTGTTAGTCAAACAATGCGCTAACACATATTGACAAAAAAAAACAAATCAAAACAGAGTCAACCTATATTCATACCTTCGTCGCAGTTTTCTCCTTTAAAACCATCACGGCAAACACATCGGTAGCGTTTAGCTGTGAAGCCCACCTGACAGATAAAGTTCTCTCCAGGGCATGGGTTACTGTGACAAATGTTCTGTTGGAAAGAAATTTATCTTAGCAGATACTCCATATAAAATTATTAACTAGTTATTGAATAGTAATTAGTTCCCAGAAAGTTTGCAAATGCCCCTCGTTTTTTAGTTTAAAAGCTCTCTTTCCTATCAATTATTGTTTTACTAGATTACTTTTAATTAAGTGAAATTGTTTCTAAATTGAAACGTTTTTCTTCTATTGATTACCATCAGTCTTAGTTGTATCCAGCATAAACGAATTCCCGTTTCACGAATAACATTTAAGACTGACAAGCATAATTGATAATCAGCAAAAATATCTGATACCTCAGCTGAATAGTGAATGTGGCCTGTCGCTTCCTGCAAGCCAGTCTGTGATGGACTTTCATCTGTTTTTTAACTCACAGGTGCGCTGTCCTTGGTCGCCAGCAGGACCGACATTAATGGACACACAGTTGGGCTCCAAAAAACACCTCACACGGCAGCTCCCTTCATTTGCCACCTTCTCTGTCCTTATCACGTGACCCGGAAGCATTTTACCCCCTATTGGCCCCTTGAATATTAAAACGCGGTTGTATTCTGTGGCAAGAACTGTAGAGAAAAATAGATAGAATTGGGCGAAGGCTTTTTAAAATAGTTTAATGGTGCAACATTATCCTTTTTTGTAATTTATCATTAATATTTATTAAATGAAACAATTTAAAATTTAAAGCTTAAAACGAAGTATCGATCCACTAAAAAATTATGTTCGAATTTACTACCAGTTTTCAACTTAACTGGGCTATTCAAAACTTATACATAAGTCATTTTTATGCATATGTTTTTCAGAAAACTCAAATCGGGACTCTACGTCTTTGCATTTCAACTCCTTTATTGTTTTTGTCGCGGTTGTTTTAATGATCAGCTTCGCCAGAGGTAGGTGCCCAAACAAAAGCCACAGCTTAGTTGTTCCAAAGACCTTTCCTAGGTGTGTTTTACGAAAGGAGCAGCTTTCCCGAACATATTCCTTACTTGGGTCGATTTTTTTTTAATAGCACAACAATAGAACTATAACCTTGGTCTGGCCTTAAAAATTGGCACGAAATGGAAAAAAGAGTACAAGAAGTAACTAACAGAACAATAAGGAATGTTCCTTATCAGCTAAAGGTACTAGACAAATCAATTATGGGTAGTCAACATTTTGTTTTAAGACAGCAGCTTTCAATTTCTAATTGTCAAAACTAAATTCTTATTGACATCAGACTGTATGGATCTCATGCTCTTGATTAGAAATTTACAATTCACAAGTCCAGGTCAAGTCTCCTCTTTTAAACCCCTTTCCTTTGTCAAGTTTGTCAGTTTTTTCATCAAAAATCTTTTACAGGTAAACACGTTCCTACTACATGGCCTACAATTCAAATACCGTAGAGCTACGCCACAGGGAACAAGTTTTGTCGGTGTAAGTTGCAGCTGATGCATCTAAGATGTTTTAAACAGTATGTGCTTTACACTGTTTAAAAAGTTGTTTGCCTTTTCCGAAATTTAATTCATTTGTCTCTTGCCTCCTACATATAGGGAAAAAAAAAATTAAAAAAAATAAAAGGCTCTAAGGTGACTTGGCCTCATGCATATTAAGCGGACGCACTATTTTCAGGAGATAGCAAATGAAATGCCAAACTTAAGTTCTCATCTTTTCTTTCTTCAAAAAAAAAAAAAAAGAGTCCTCACAAACCAGTTCTAAGTTACTACACGTTCATTAACTTCTTAAATGTGATGGTTCTTATTTTAAAATAACTTTTATTTCGAATTTCGAATTTTTTTAAAAAAATTGTTCCTGTTCAGTTTTCAATTATAAAAATGAAGCACTAAACATGTGGAACTTACCAAAGTGCACCAATAAGCCAAGTCCAAGTGTTAGCATCTCGATGAAAATTTCCGTCCTCCTAGTAGAGGACATGGTGTCAACTTAGCGTAGACTTTCAAGTTGTTGTCTGCTGACATCAAACTAGTCGTGTAAAGAAATAGGCTCATTAAAATTTCTCAATATGCGACAATACCCTACTTGAATTAATCAATAAATCATAAGAAGTTGGGAATGATTTCGAAATTGGTTCTTAACTCAACGCTAAAAAAAAGGCAATTTATGTATTGATTTTAAAAGCTGTTTTTATCATTTCCCGCTTCCATATTTATACCAGACTATGAGGGAAAATAGCGAATAGCCATCGAATGATTTCTCGCGCTTTTTCATAGTCAGTCTTAAATTTAAATTTAGTATAATTTTCATATATTCTCTCCTGAGGTACCTGTTTCACACTTATCACGGAGTCAAATGACACACACAAAAAAGTCAATATTTATCATTGCTCAGGGTTTTATCCATAGCTTAACTTTTATTTGTTTCCACCATTTCATTTCCGTTTATTTCGGCAGCAAGCAATATTCATACCTTGTCTATTATGATATCCCCTAGAAAAGGTCCCTGTGTAAAGTTAATTCCTCTGCGGGGTACTTTCTTGTCTTCTTCCAAACAATCCTAAAATTTTGTTTCACGACTTCTTTGTTAATCATTAATCATTAATCATTAACTGCCTTCGGCTATGGCTTCACTAGCTTACATCAAAAGACACAAAGGGTATGTGCGTCTGGGGAAATTCCATTATAATAGAATTGGAATTGCAGCATTAGCTAAACCTTAAAAATTTCCAAAAAACTGACCTTTGTGATATTTTGTCCAGTCAGTGGTGCTGCCCTTAGCTAGAATAGCCACTAAAAATCCCTTCCCTTGCCGAGAGAACCAGAACCTCCAGTCTTCAATTCCAGATAAATGAAACTCTATACCAAAAGAAAAATACGACCCTTTTCATCAGACTAAAAGCCCCATATATGCATATGTGTACCTGTTAAGACTATCCCACCTCTTCCGCCCACATTTTCCTGGTTTCAAATAATTTAAATTCTAAGGCATGATGCCGGTTTCAAAAGAGAATTCTGTCTTTTAGCTTGCGTCCATCGGCTTTTTAATTTTGAGACATAATCTCAAACATAATGTCATGTTATCGACAACGTGGTCAACTGTTTTCATTCAAAATCCGCTTTATACCAGTGACCTATAGATGAGCATTGGAGATCTACTGGAGCTATCTGGAGAAAGCAGACTGCGAGCAAATGTAGCAAAACAAAGCAATGTTGTTCAATAAATTGCCTTCGGTCATACTATGGTTCTCATGTCAAAGACAAACTTTCTTTTTTTCGAATTAGCAGCGTTAACTTTTACGGCCACGAAGAGCTTTATCTTTTAATAATTCAGTTTTAACATGCTGTCTTTTTCAAAGAATAAATAAATATACCCAGTTTAAGGGCCACCGGTGGGTTATTTGTTTCGAACGAGAGCTTTTTGTTTGCATCTGCTGGTTTTAATTTTGAAACCTAATACCATTATTGCCATTGGTACCTGTTTTTTTGTTTGTTTAATACCTGCATGCTTTAGATGATAATACTCGGCTAGAAGCATTAAGAGTTTTTAGGGGGTATTCGGGGATAAGCAGACTCTGCTGGATCGATAAAGCAAAAAAAGACCGTGCTATCCAGTACGAAAATGAAGGAGGCCTCCTGTCTAGCTTTGTTTTCTATCACATATCACGAAGAACGAGCTGTAAATTGTCTTAAAAAGGATTTTTTTCTCCATTGGCGGAGGAGAATTGAAAGCGCAGAGCAAATTGAAAATATAATCTACTACGCATTAAAGGGCCTCAGAAATTTATACGTTCTAATCGTCCCAGAAATTTTTGTGGATCGTTGTCCCAGCAATTTCTCTGGACCGTTGTTCCAGAAATTTCTGTGGATCCTTGTCTCAGAAATTTCTGCCGATGAGTCGTTGTCTCAGAAATTTCTGCGGGTGACTCGTTGTCTCAGAAATTTCTGCGGGTGAGTCGTTGTCAAAGAAGTTTCTGTGGCTCATGGAAACTGTATTTTCTGAGTTGCGTTTTTGTTAATGTTCTCCAGACTTCTGAGACCACAGTAATAAATGCTTATAGGCAAGAAACAAATAATTTTTGAAATATTTTGCCTTAAGAACTACAGTCAGTCATGGAAAGTATTCCAAGAAACTGACTCAAATTTACCAGATGAGAAAATTGTCTTTTTGTCAAGGTTTAACTGCTTCTTTGCTGCAGTTAGCTGAAGACTCTCAAGAGACGTATTTATGGAAGAAATTTAGAAAATAGACTGAATTCTTGATCCAACAATTTGTTACTTTTTTAGGAAAAAATCGGCTTTTTGGGGTGCATCTTTTGTAAGCACGCAAACATTTGTCAAATAGTCAAATCTTTCCAATTTTGCTCATAAAAATTGGAACAAAATGAGCAAATAATTGCATATTTTTCCAAAATCAACATTTTAGAATGTCCGACCTTATTTTAGAACGTGTTTAATTACTTCCTGCCCTCTCGAACTGGAAACACACCGGAAATCCGTGTCTTATTTACGTCGATCGCAGCAACTGAATGCAATATGCAATAGCAGTCAAGAAGAGAATCGACGGTAAAGTTGAGAAGTTTGCACGATAACCGCAAGTCTTGACAAAGAAAGTTTGCATGCCTTTGGGCACGTTTTCGTGGCTAGTTTTGCCGAGAAATTAAAGAAATACTTATTTCACGGTTAAGTTAAAAACACATAATTTTAGTGTATTAACAGATTTTCAACCCAAAATAGTTTTATCGAACCTTTTCAACCCTGGGATTTATTCTTACCATGTTCTTAAGATTTCGCAATTTTCAGCCTCGATATTCGTATAAAATATATTTCTACAGAAAAGAAAAGAGTGTACCGTGATGAGACATTTAAGGTTAGTACAGGAAAGGGCGAATAAATGGCATGATACGTTCTCTTGGTCCGTATACCATTGTCAAAACGTCCCTGGAAAAATCTGGCCGAAAGAAAAATAGAACATGGTTTTTCTTGTCGTTCTCGTGGAGAATTTTCGAAGCAACGGAACATCTGAAAAGGAAGTCCTGTATTTCCGAACGGAATATTTCGAACGGAAGTTCGTTTACCATTTGCTAACACCCATATTTGATGCTAGTGCCAGGCTTCCCCAGGCGTTTTAGGGTAAAAGGAACTGATTTATGTAAGTGTTATTAACGATTCTGGAATGAAGTTTAACAGTCCTGAATTTTTCTTACCATTTGCCCAAACTGTGAACCGACTGGTTTGACCATGCAAAAGGGTAAAAAAAAAAGAGGAAAAAATATGTTTCTCGTTTCTCTTGTTAATGAGATAACGCTAACTGGCCAAGCTCAGCCCAGCTCTTAAGAAGTGCCTTTTAGGGATCCGCTGCCTCAAGGTGATTTTACACGGGAAGATTCGTAACGGCGATTTTCAGCGAAACACAGCGCTGCAATGTTGGAACAATATTGTGACCGTTCGAAACAATGTCGCAACAATGTTGCAACGCTTTGTTGCGCTAAAGGTCGTTGTTGTGAATCATCCCTTGTAACATCACCGTTAAATGGGTTTTGCCAGTTTTAATATGTCGAGTTGAAGCTGGCGTTAGCGACCATTTGGTCACGGTTAACAGCGGCTTACTAAGCATGTTTCAGCTAAAGGTTAGTTCTGTCATGTGCTTTCATATTTCTTGGAGAAATAGTAAATGACCTAATAAACGCCAGGGGCGTCTATTTAATTTTACGGGTCCAAGGGGGCGTTTAATAGAAAGAAGGCGTTTAAAAGAGAGGTAACAAGCTCCACAAAACCGAATATGCTTCCGCGAAAATATCAAGAAAGGTTTAAAATATATAGCGGAATATCTACTCCATCAATTGTTACTTCTAGGCCGCCTAGAGATCCATATGCATATTGCTCTTTCAAATCTGTTCAACACCGATGTCAGAATCCAGGCTCGCTCTTTGTTATTACTGTGTTGCCATCGTTAGTCTACCTTTTGACTCTTCACATTGAATAGATGAAATATGCAAAGCCTTGTTAAACAAGCAAGAAATTGAATGATAGAATGATTTTTCTCCTTTTTGGAAATTCCTAGTATTTTGGAGTACAGTAATTGCCATAGGAAGGCGTCTATTAGACAGGGGGAGTTTATTAGACAGGGGCGTTGTACAAAATTGTAACAGATTTGAGGAGGCGTCTGTTAGATAAGAGGTGTTTATTTGGAAGTTGGGGTTTATTAGGTCATTTACGGTAGCTCTGGATTTTTCCCCAACAGCACGCTCTCACATTGGCTCCTTGGAGACCATTGAAATCTAACAAACATTAGTATATACACACTCAGTGATCTTGGTGATTTAAGCAATCTGATTGGTTCGCTATCTCGTGCTATTATACACTTAATGTCAGATCCCAAGGGAAACAGTTAGTTTTGTTTTCCCGAGAGTCCTGATGTTTCCCGAGACGAAGTCGTTGGAAACATCAGGACTCCAGGGAAAACAAAACTAACTGGTTTCCCGAGGGATCTGACATTAAGTGTTTTGTTATATTTCTAGAACTTTCACTTCAACAGCAACAAAAGAATAACCAGAGCGAACCAAAACGAACCAAAACAGTTGACTCGGTACTTATAACAACACAAATTTAATTCTCAAAACCACTGAATGAATGATTTACAAACAAAAGTACTTTCCTTATATCATCTGCATCTTTTTCCTCCACTAGCTGCTGTTTTTCTTCGACTGGGAACTTCTGGGATAACTTTAAAAATGGTTGCTTTTTAGCTTGAGGCTTCGTGATTGTGTTGCTGTGTTCATTCACGAAAAAGAAAACCGGCAGGACCTGGCGGTGTTTTTCCCGCCTTCTGTCACGCCACTTTCCACCATGCTTTGATCACGTGCTGCAATGTATCCCGAGCGGGATACATTGTTTAATGTACCACAATCGGGATACATTTGATTTTAGTCAAGGCCACGTGACCAAGAATCAACCAATGGCAGTCCCTGTTTAGTTGAGTGAAATTCTAGGAATATAACAATCAACAATATTCACCTCCTAGCGAGTGG